GATCTACAACAATAAGAAAGTCTGCTATTCCATTTGACTATGTAGTGTATTTACAAGAATCTAATATTGACTTTGGTGCTGAGGATGACCCCATCACGTTTTCACAAGCTATGAGTGGAAACAAATTCACATTATAGTATGATGTTATGGACGATGAGATGAAATTTATGGCTAGTAATCAAGTTTAGGATCTTGTCGATTTGCCCGAAGGTTTAAAGGCCATTAGTTGTAAATGGGTYTTTAAAATAACCAAAAGAGATTCTACCGGCAATGTTGAAAAATATAAAGCAAGACTTGTAGCAAAAATGTTCACTCAACAAGAAGGAGTTGATTATCATAAACTCTTCTCTCCAGTTTCAAAGAATGACTCATTTAGGATAATCATGGCATCAGTAGCTCATYTTGATTTAGAACTACATCAAATGGATGTGAAAACAACCTTCCTAAATGGAGATTTAGAGGAAGAGGTATATATGAAACAACCTGAAGGCTTCACCTCAAGTGAAAATAGTCACTTGGTATGTAAACTTAAAAGGTCTACATATATATGGGTTAAAGCAAGCCTCCCACCAATAGAATTTAAAGTTCTATGATGTCATTACTTCATTTGATTTTGAAGAAAACATTATGGATCAGTGTATGTACCATAAGGTTGGTGGGAGCGAAATAATTTTCTTAATCCTATATATAGATGACATCTTGCTTGCTTCAAGTGATTTTGGCTTACTCTATGAAGTGAAACAGTTTCTCTCAAGAACTTTTGATATGAAAGATATGAGAAAAGCTTCTTATGTCATTGGCATAAAAATTAAAAGAGATAGAGCTTAAAGGCTATTAAGACTGTCGCAAGAAACCTATATCAATAAAGTTCTTGAAAGATTCCGTATGAAATACTATTCATCTGGTTTGACGCCTATAATTAATGGTGACAAATTTAATTTGATTCAATGCCCAATGAATGACCTTGAAAGGGAACATATGAAAAACATTCCTTATGCTTCTGCAGTAGGAACCTTGATGTATGCTCAAGTTTGTACTAGACCTGATATAGCATATAGGCCGTCAGTTCGTCGAAAAAAATTCTGTRCATTCAATACGAATGTCATTAGTCAAGAGAAACGAATAAAAAACGTACTGTAACAAAAAAATGAGGCATTTAGTGGTACGTACAGCCAAGACGATGTCTCACGTGGTGAACCTGCGAGAACATAGGTCAGGACGCTGTTCCAGCTTCTTTCGCACGAACATGACCAGTGAATCAACGACCTACGTGTATTACCGTCATATTACAACCAATAGACACCAAAACAAAAAAAGGAATTATTATCAAACATCATTCTAAGCATATGTACCTCATTCGTGCACCAGTTGTTCGGCTGAAGTTGGTCACGAAACCATGCTTCCCTCTGTACGCATAAGGTGTCTTTCGGGTCGAATGGTTTTCTACGTAGTCTTCAATCCATTTTTTGAATTTTTCCTCCTCTGTGGCTGGGAGATCTGGAACTGGATTGTACTCGATTACCCTCTTTCGCTTCCCGCCAACTTTAACTTCGTACGATCYTCGAAGTTTCCATGGTACTTTCTTTTCTCGTTCTCCACGACGAGGGTTTGGACACGTGATTGGCTGTGATAACACACATACCTCGTCGTCGTCCACACGTGACTGGCATTGTGATTTCTCTTGCAATTGTGTTTCCTCGGGTGCCTGCGACTGAGATTCCTTGGTCGCTTATGACCCGGATACGATATCCGGGTCAGTGTCGGTGTCTGATGAATCATGAAGAATTTGTACCTGAAAGTATGTTATCATTAGAACGACGTCAAAGTTACCCMAAATAAAATAAGGTAGTGAGCAGCAGTTCAGATACCTGTATCGATGACTGGTACTGAATGACATCGGACTCAACAACTCCCACATGCTTTGATGTACCAAKGTCCGTACTCTGAACGTCCTTTGGATGAACAGGAGGCGTTCCTAAATGTACATCTCCCTCAAGGTCCACGGCTTGTTCGGTGCAAACCGCACCAGTGTCGACGTATGCTACCTCATGGTCGATAGCTTTTTCATTGCCAACTGCACTAGTGTCGACATCTGCTACATCAAGGTCCACTGGTTCCTTCTGGACATTTTGCACAATTGCGTCGTCATGGACATCGGACGCACCATCCCCACGTCCATCGCCCGCTGCATCTCCACGTCCGTCACCTTCAGGATAACTGTCTGTTGCATCCCATATGAGTATACCATCCATCACCCGCACTTCCCGCTCCACCAGCATCGTCACCTCCCTTACCTCTTCGCATGTCGGCCGGGTCGAYTGGTTGACCCTGTACGTAAAATGACATATTGCATGAGGGCGATGGTGAAAACGAAATATAATACGAACTTAATTAATAAAAACTAACCTTGGCAATCYGTCTCAAATACTTGTGTATGGATTTCAACTCACCTTCTAGTCTTTCTCCATAGCGCTCATACGCGTGTCCAAACTTCTCAGCCGCCTGAACACTTTCTTGTTACTCTTCTTTTTATTTTTATCTTTCTTCTTTGTGCCCTCTCCGTCCTGTGTATCATGGACGACAGCATCAGTGGGAGCACCAACATTGGTAGGTGGACGTTCAATATTTTGTCYTGACCCCCGCATGCAATCTCTGAAGGTTCGGGGACTTCTTCATCCATTTCCACCTCATCTGATGCTGGTGGCTCGCATACCCTGTTCAAAAACGTCTTCTCCGCTTCAGTCAATTCTAAGCTCCTGATTGTGGCCTGCACAAAAAATGATATTAATACAATACAGTTCAAAATCAAGTAAAATTCAAGGGTGTAACTTACTGTTGTAGACCGAAAGATGTCCCTCTCCAGCACGACCCATCYTGTCGAGTGACTGCACCTCCACCGGAGCATACGGGGATGACATTGTCACTAATCTTCCTAGCAACTCGTCCAGTCATAGAAGATATAATCTCGTACCCCCACACCTGTACAAATTTCAAAGCATGTTAATAACAATTACTAGGTCCAAATTACTGTGCAGGTTAACATATATTTATTTACCTGGAATACCCACGGGAAACCGTATAGACTATACGATTTTCTCAACCTCCCCTCCTCTGTCTTCTTCGCCAATGCTCGCTGCAGACTTCTTATTGTCTTCTCGAATGATAGCTGTCCCCAATCATGGTTGGGGCATACTTCCCAATCATCTACTGTTCCAAGCAGACTACTGTCGTACTTTATGCTTCGCTCCCAGCCGTAAAGTACAAATTCAGCTAAGTATACGATTGATACCTTCACCGCATCCCAATCATTCTCAAAACGCATAACTTCGTACGTTTTCTCAAATTCACCCAAGCTTAGGTCAACTTTATTATCAAAGTACAAAGCCTTAAGCCTAACGGGAAAGGTGTTCTTCCTAACGRGAGATCTCGAATATTTTAGTCCGCTAATTATGTCGAATTCTCTCCGACCAAAGGACAYCTTACTCCCAAATAAGTTTAAGCTAATGGTGTCCGGGCGACTCTCATTCACCTCCCTAAGCAGCAAACTATGGATTAGTGGTCCGTTAAAGACGAGGTCAACATCAAGCAGATGACCAACTACARTCTTCCTAAATAGACGCATCTGACGGGGGGTAAGTTTCTTTTTAATGGCCTCGACTRTCTTCGTTAAGTGCGATAAACAGGTCAGTTGGGACGAGGCATACAGGAAGGACCTTCAATACCATTTCCATTTCCTATAAGTAAATACAAACAAACATGTACACTCAGATTAAATCAAACAAAGTACACATTAAAATATACGAAGAGAAATGTACAATATACAGAAATTTGAAAGCTATTCCAGGGTTTTTTGTGCTCTCTGTTAATTTTCTCGGGCTCGACCTCGGGTGAGGTTTAGCCCGAGGTAATTGAATCATGCTCAACCTCGAGGCTCAGCCTCTTTCATATACCTCGATGCTCAACCTCAAGGCTTAACCTCAAGGTTGAGCCCGAGGTAATTGGAATAGGCTCAACCTCGAGGCTCAACTTCGAGGTTCAGCCTCTTTCATATACCTCGAGGCTCAACCTCGGGTTGAGCCCGAGGTAATTAACAGATAACAAAAAACCCTCCTAAACCCTAAACCACGCTCGAGGTTATTCCCACTTCGACCAAGGTAGAGTCTTCTTTAACCTCCCATCACCTCAACCTCCGACATTTCAATAGACATTCCACCACACCACAACACAGAAGAACCACAGAGAAAGCAACAGATCAATAGCAAATACAGAAAGAAGATTTCGTTTCCAAAAAATGAAATCCAAGTCGAAATCGAGCAACAACTAAACTATGTTAAGAAAAAAATTAACTTCGGGTTAGTTTCTCAGACGCAATAAATCGACAGGTAAGCTTCAATTAACTTCTCTGACTCAATAAAAAACGAAGCCCTAATCTTCGCAATCGAGCAACAACTAAACTACGTTAAGAAATCAAACTAACCTCGAAGTTTAAATCTCCAAATTAACTTTCTTGCAAGACGAATTAGCAATGGGAGAACGGAGAAAGAAAGTTCAGACGAAGAAGAAAGGGAAGCTCGAATGGAGAAGACGAAGAAAACGAAACACAGACGAACGGAGGAGATGAGAAAGAAAGTGAAACAGTTTCTTTTTTTGAATCGAGGAATACTAATGTAATTTTACTTCCATTTAAATTCAATAAAATATTAAAGTGAGTTATTTGAGCTCAACTAACGGGGTGGGTTATTTCTGCATTTCAGAAGCTTTTGTTGGATTATTTGAGTCAATTTTCCCATGATATTGCCGGAAAAYGAGATTTCTAAATTTAATTTGAGGAAGTCGCACAATTTGATTCAATCCAGTAGGAGAGAGAAATTCATTCCCATCCCATGAAAGTAAACATAGCTTAAACTCAATTCAACGACGGTTAATGATTTTTTTTAAACCATCGAATAGGTGCCCTATCAAAACATTGATTCAAAGAGAGTAAATTTAAATCCGAAGCGATGAACCGAACCTAACATAACCCGAGATGGATGATAGAGTCTATTCAAAACAATCGGTGGAAAGCTACGCAACGTGGAAGTATGATGAATTTCTCCATTTTCCCCTATGAACTTATAAAATTTGAATTTCTCACACAGCCTCTCCTCTTATACCCATCACAAGTAATCATTCTGAACGGTGCCCATGTTCATCCGCTTGCCCTCCTCCTACCGGCCATTCTTCAGTGTATGATGCTCCACTCTCCCTTCGAATCTCTGCTTTATTGCTGTTATTGTTAGTTTTTGAATTCTTTTGCTTTGACTTCATTGTTCGTTGCGTTCCTCATGAATCTGTGATGGGTTTATGGGATTGAGAATAATTTTTGTTCCTATTGTTGAAAGATATTTGACGAATTGGATCATGATAAGCTGGGTTCCATTTGTTTGAATTTCCTTATATTTGGGCCTTTGTGATGCTGTCTTCTTGGGTTGACTTTGCAACGTATTTCCTGAATTGGGTTTCAATGCTTATTATTTGAKAATGGGATATTGGATTATGGTTAAATTACCAATTTGGTCCGATGTTGGGACAAAGTAGGTTGATGGGGTTTTGAAAGTTTCAATTTGATCCCATAGGTTGGACTTAGTTTCAATTTGGTCTCTATAGTTTCARAAGCTTCATGTGGTCTTAGGCTTAGTTTCAAACTTGGTTAAATCTCACCAACTGTCCCTAAATTTGAATTAGCCACTCGAAAAATCTTCACCTATTTTCTTTTTATTTTTTACTCAATCTTAAATCCTAATACGGCACAGTTACTTGAAAGAAAACTGCCATATGGAAGAAATTTGTCAAGGTGGTAATTGCATAGACGATTTGTGAAGTTTGACTAAATCACAAGAACCTAATTAAAACTTTTAAAACTATAGGGATTGAATAGAAATTAAACCCAAATTATAGACACCGCATTGAAAAATTTCCCAAACATTTTGAACCAAATTTGTTATTTAACCTGAATAAGTGGTAGAATTGAAGAAAAATGTAGAAGGGGTGCCCTGCTATCTGATAATAATTGGGTAGCATTCTCTAAGGCAGCTGTAGAATTAGGTTTCTAGTGCTGGAAATATTAAAAYCAGTCCACATATTTTCAGAATTCGTATTTGTTTAAGTATCTCGTCAAAGTAAATTTTTTTTTTTGTCTTGGCTGCTGCCTCTTCTTGTTCTTACTAATTGTACTGTGTCAAATGAAAGAATGCATCTCACTTTAGTTTTGTGTGTATTAAGAGTTTTGTGATGTTCTAATTTAAAATATGCCGTGTTAGAGACTCAGCCAACTTCTATGTTCCTTATAGGCCTCCTATTGTGAAAGTGTATGGTAGGAAAAAGGGGGAGGGCGGGTGAGGTTTGTTCTGTGAGTAAGGGAGAGGGATTTGTTGTGGGTGGGGCCCATTTAGTTTAGTTTGTTAGAGGGATATGAGAGGGATGCGTTTGTGAATATGGTTAAGTGCGATAGTGAGAGGGTAGCAGGGCACTTACCTGGACCGGGTGTTTGGGCGATCAGCAAGTTCCATGGCTTGGTTAGTGATCGCCATTGCACTTTGGAGGGGTGCTCGCCTAAGGTCTGTCCAACGTGGCAGAGCCTACGTCATAATTTGTGGTAGAGGGGGCCTGAGTCCGCGCAGCCCCTATAAAAAGAAGAGAGGCAGCTCATGCATCTTTTTATCATTTTGTGGATATTTGGTATTAGGGAGAATAGGGAGCTCTTGAACTCTCCCTGGCCAGTATCTTTTCTTTAGTAAAAGGCGAAAGAATAGTTCGCTGTGTGCCTATCCCACAGCTCCGTTGGCCAGTATCTTTTCTTTTGAACATAAATAATAGAAGAGTTTCTATCAGTTCATTGGTGAATTGTTTTTGAGCTTTGGATAGTGAGTTGGTGATCCCTTTTCCTTGCTGGCCTTAAAACTTCTCTTTAAAACTCCAGCTGAAATACATGAATGGAGTGGAATGCTTTATTGTGCTATGCTTGAAAAAACTTCATCGACATTTTTGTTTATATTAAAATCAAATCAATAAAATGTTTGATGTTTGAATTTTATTGCAGGATTATGCCTATGTTTCTTTGAATAAGAAGTTGCAATACGATGCTTGGATGTTATTATAGGATTTTGTCCTGAGTTTTTGAATTAGAATTTCTAATAACACTGGTATTATCGGTAAGATGTAGAAATATGTTTTTAATCCTAATCTAATACCTAGAATTTCATCATATAATCCATAAACTTTAAAATATTTTGTTTAGCCATCAATTTTGCATAAAAAATAATTTTAGTTCTTACCATTAATTTTTCATTAGCTTGTTAAGAAGACCTAAATTTACTTGGAGACCCGACACGTAAACTGAATATATATGGCTTCTAATAATGGTCCAAAGTCCATATAGACATCTATTGACGAGGTATATAAACAAAAGATGTACCTAGGTGAGGTTTCTGTTAAAGAATCTATTAAAAAATAAATTAAAAACAAGGTCCCATCCCATCTGTTTATGGTTTTTTCTTTTGTGATAATCGGGAGTTGGAGCTTTGCTCCCTTATACCCGAGGACGTCCACGCCTGCCTCAAGGCTCGGACCCGAGAAACATCAAAGATTTTTGGTATTGAGCTCACTTGAAGTTTTGAACTTAAGACCTCTAAACCAGTATAACCAAGAGATCCCCTGACAACCCCCAAGCCTCACCAACATGGCCGCCCCTTGGGGAGCTACATCTATTTATGTTCTTACCTTTTCATACCTCCCCCAATCTTCTCATAATTTGCTAGTGTAGTGAAGTTTCCTTTCCATTTGTTTTGCTTTTTTTATTTTTATTTTTTATTTATTAATATTTTTTCCCCATCTTTTTTGAACGTGTAGTCTTCCTCAACCACAAGGAAGGTAATCGAAAACATCATGGGAGGCAAGTGAGATTCRGTTCCATTAGACATTTGAAATTTCAATGTTTTAAATTTCACTAATTAATCGTATTCAATCAATGACTTGATCATTTATTTTGTCATAAACAACAATAGATGTTGTTCAATCTAGAGGACAATGTTGGCGAGTGCTTAAAAAGGGAGGATGGTTGATGTCTCTTTATTGTTCCTCAAGGAATTTTCAAACGTCACGTAAAATTTCAGTTAGTTCCTCATCAATCAATGGAGAAAAACCTCACCAAAACTTCTTGAAGGACAAGAAGCTCATTCCAGATTCAGATCCCCCTAGCACAAAGGATGTTGATCTTTTATATAACTTTCTTGATCAAAGGTTACTTTACATACCTTTACCAGTATCTTAATATTTTTTTCATCAATAACTATTCTTGGTGGTAAATCCTTAGTATTATCGTGCTATTATGCATTCTGCAGTTCCAAGCTTGTGGTATTGACAGGAGCTGGAATAAGTACAGAATGTGGAATTCCTGATTATAGAAGGTTTTGTTTTGCCTTCCTTCCCTCATACTAATATTCCAAAGTCCACATTTTTTAAAATCTTGATTTGTTTTAATGATGAGATGATGAGGAACATTGATGTTCTAGAGTTAGATGTCTGTAGAAATGCTCGTCCACTTTATTTCTAAATCACAGTCCAGCCCTAATGTGTGTTCATGTGCGGGTTTGATACATAAAAGGAAGATTTCAGGCATATTACAGTCTAGAGACTTTTGTTGATTACTCTATATGGTTTTGGAGTTTTTCAATTGATCCTAGCTATAACCTATTTGGTTGTTCAATTTTGATTACTTCTATTAATTCTTTCTGTATCGTGTCATGACTTCTTGATTATTAAGGTTCCATTTGATAACCATTTTGTTTTTAATTTTGTTTTTTTTTTTTTAAATTAAGCTTAGGAACAATACTTTTTATGTGTTACTTTGTTTTGTTATATAGTTTTTATAWACATTTTCAAATTTTGAAAAGAAAAAGTAGTTTTCAAGAAGTGGTTTTTTATTTTTGAAATTATGCTAAGAATTTAAATATGTTTTCAAGAGAGGTCGGAAAGTGGCTCTTCCAATTGACATCAAGGCCCTTCTCTCRTACGTTTTTGTGGGGAACCCCTTCAAGAAAGAAAAGGAGATCCTTTGGAAGCACATAATTAGGGCCTTTTTGTGGACCACTTGGAATGAAAGGAATCATAGGCTCTTCACCGACAAAGAGGTTCCCTTTGCTAGAGTCTTTGATAACATCATATTCCATGCTATCATTTGGTGTAAATTATCACCCCTCTTCTACTCTTATAGTTTTGATTCACTTTTGACCAATTGGAGAAGTTTCTTGTAGCTCCTTTGATTTGCGAGGTTTATACCTCTCCAACATCTTCTAATTTCACTCGTCAATGAAATTGTTTCTTACCCAAAAAAAAAAGGCGGTAAACTTACTTATGAAATTTAATAAAAACAAGCATAATTTTTAAAATAGAAAATTTAAAACGAAATAGTTATCAAACGAGCTTTTCATTGATTCTTACCTTTATTTCTACTCTAATTCATTTACAAACTGCAGTGCCATTCAGCATTTCAGGATTAATACCTAGAGACGGCATCTTCCTGCCCAGTTTCCCTATGCGAACAACATTTACTAATATTTTCTCTGTTCTCCGTTTTTCCTCTACATTCACAACATCAATACCATACTTTCTATTAATTCAATGGAGAAAGTCTTCTAGTTTTGAACAAATTTGATGAATATGAATACTGGCAAGTAAATTCATGTGTACACGTGCTTGTGTGTYATGGAGTTAGCATCTAGTCAAACCAAACTTTTATATACATAGATTGTCAATTTCCAATATTGTATTTAGTATTTGCTGTCCTCAAGACTTCTGTTAATTTATTTCTGCCTTCTTAGACTGGCATTGCCTTGATTTGCAGATTAAAGTTTCTTAGTTGATGAATATGCTTTGCATTATTTGGGTTTTGGTCATAATGTCATCATGTAATCTTTCTTTCTTTTTTATTCCATGTTTAAAGACATACGCACCCGATTTTATTTTCTAATGCTAAAGTTTCTCTATGCTGCAGCCCAAATGGAGCTTATAGTTCTGGTTTCAAACCAATTACACATCAGGTGATCTGAAGGCACGTGTCATACCTTCTTTTTGCATTGTTACAATGATTGGCTTAACATTTTGAATCTTTGATATAAAAATACTGATAGTAACATAACAGATATTTTATCTGCATTTTAAAATTAGATAATCAATGTTGTAATTAAAGAGATGGTAAATTTTGGATATTCGATATGGTAATCTTAGATCATGGTTGATAATATAGAATCACGTAAGGTTTCAAATATTCAAATTCATGTGATAACAAGCAATAGAATTCATTTGAAACCCGTTAGGATTTGAAATCACTCAAAATCTTGGTCAAACAAATGTCAGGTAATTAACTTTAAAAGTACACACCAATCTTGAATCCCTCAACAGGACTGACATCCAAACTTTTAGGTAGAGGTTGCTTAAACAATTAGCCAACACCATGGTCCGTGGAAAAAAAGGGAAAAATAATTTTCTCTAGTGAGTAGTATTTTAATTCTAGGCTTAGATTTAATTGTGGAATTTTGACAGAGAAGTTAGTACAAGAGAGGAACCCCTGTATGCAACTCCACCAAACTCTTGGGCCTTTCTGCTTTATTCCATTCTGAAGAAGCTCTAATCCACTTTGTTATGAGCTTTCACGAGGTCTTGCTTAATAACCATACCTCTTTTTGCTCCAATTATCAACCATGTCATTAGCAACTAGAATAGAATCAATAACCCTGCAAGTGTAGAGCTTGGTAAAGAGCTATGGTAGATGTGAGAATTCAAACAGAAAAATGTCAGCCGCATTAATTTGTTTTTCCCCCTCTCTGAAAGACAATGAGACAGTGAGGATACTTTCTAAGAACGTCATCTTTCAGCATCCTCATATTTATTTAGTATATAACTATGAGAAGAGTTTTAGTTTGGAGTCATGACAAAGTTCACCTTTGTTATGTACTATCAAGTTTAATGGTTTGGTTTTCTTGGAAGCAGGAGTTCGTTCGTTCACTCCGGACTCGTCGTCGATATTGGGCAAGGAGTTATGCAGGGTGGAGACGTTTTACAGCAGCAAAGCCTGGCCCTGCGCATTTATCTCTAGCATCTCTAGAAAAAGTAGGCCGAATTAACTTACTGGTCACTCAAAATGTTGATAGGTGATGAGATAGCTATCCCTGATTCTTAATATGATGAACTTTGAAATGTATTTAAGTTGAAGAAGTTTAATGGGACTGAAACTTTTATYATCTCATTCCAGGTTGCACCATCGCGCTGGTAGTAATCCACTTGAATTACACGGAACTGTTTATTCTGTAATTTGTTTAGAGTGTGGCTTTTCCATTTGTAGGAATTCATTTCAGGAACAAGTGAAAGCTCTCAACCCAAAGGTTTGTTTTTGTCCTATTTGTTGTTCTTGGGGTGATGAACATCTGATTTAATTTTATTTCCAACCCGAAGGTACGGAAATACATGTTTGCTAATCTTGTTTGACTTGAATAATGAGGGTGAGTTTGGGATGGCTTTTTCATGGGTGAAAATAATGCTTTTAGGCAGTTAAAAAAAAATTCTAAATTTTTTTAGTGTTTGGGCATACAACCAAACTGATTTTGAAAATTTTAAAAACATTTAAAAAATACTTAATTAATGCTTATTCTAAGAAGTGCTTAGAGGAGGAGTGCTTCACTTAAAAACACTTCTCTAAAAATACATCCCAAAGTCACTATTRTTATAACATCAAAGGCTGTTTCTTCTCCTTGCTTTCCACAGTTATTTATTTGTGCCAGAGTTTTGGTTGCTCACTCCTTATTTATTTATTTATTTTGATATGAGTTCACTCCCTATTTTATATCATTCATTTTGGATTAGTGCTGGAATTTTGTGGATTATGATCGGAATCTGGTTGAGATCTCAGCAAGTATATTTTGCTACAGTGGGCAGAAGCAATTGAAAGTTTGGATGATGGAAGCTCAGGGTCAGATAAGAGCTTTGGCATGAAGCAAAGGCCAGATGGTGATATTGAAATTGATGAAAAATTTTGGGAGCAGGACTTCTGCATTCCTACCTGCCAAAAGTGCAATGGAGTGCTCAAACCTGATGTAATATTCTTGCTTTCACTATTTGATACATTTCCGCTTATTTGCTTCAGATGCATGTATATTTGTTTAATCCTTTCGATGTAAGCCACTTTGACGATGCTGAGACAAGTGAAATACTTACTGGAATCATTTGAGTTATTTGCTGTGGACAATCTCAAGTGTTTGGATAGCTGCTGATTATATGTAGAGAGATGCCATGGAGTAAACCATGTATATAAATATTGCAACTTAGTTGTCCCTCAGAGCTGGCCTTTGCTTAGGGTCGGCGATTAGTGGAGGCGGACCTTGAATGTTATGGAACGAGTGAGACCTCTTGAGTACCTGGTTATAAAGGAATATATTGGGACTTAGTTCGGCACTTGTATTGGCCCATCTGCGAAATCTCTTTCTTTGCAATACTAGGAAGATCTCAATAAATCTTTTATAGGCAGGAGAACTGGATCTCCTGGATAAAAATCCATATCAGCTATATCATCCATGTAAAAAGGAATCTATATCAACTATATCGCCATCAGTGATACTGCATCGTTTACTTGAGAGTATATGTRCGTTTACTTGAGAGTACATGTGTAGAGTATTATTGGAAAATAGAGCCTTTCATGTTCTTGTTTAGTAAATGGTTGAAGATCTGTTATTTCTATAATGGTATATTCATATCATTCAATTACTTGCTAATATTTTGTGTCCCCCCCATTAATTTGAAGGTCGTATTCTTTGGTGATAATGTCCCAAAGGATAGAGCTACTAAGGCGATGGATGCTGCTAGAAATTGTGATGCTTTCCTTGTATTAGGGTCATCTGTGATGACCATGTCTGCTTATCGGCTTGTGAGGTGCTTTCTTTGCTTCTCTATTTTGAATGTTTCAGTAGTTGTAATTCTAATATTTGGGAATTAGCATTTCAAGTATCCATCTTTTTATTGAGTGCGATGGAATATAAATTMAATAGAAATTATCTTCGCTAGGCTGAGTGGTTGTTTTGATAGTGCTAGTCTTGGAGTTTCCAAGAACCATGGAGGGTTCGATTCGAACGCCTCGCTCTTTTGTTTGGTGAATCGATTTGCTTTTTAATTTATACAGTAGAATGAGAGTTGTTTCTTTACTTTATTTATTTTGCTTGGTATCATAAAAGTGAGTGGCCGCTAGAGCTCTCCTTTAGTGCATTTGGTTAGAAAGGAATCTTCTTACCTTTGAAGTTAAGGTTTCTACTTTTAATTTTTTTTTTTTTTTTTTTTTAAGAAATAAAACTTTCATTATCAAAGAGAAGGAATACAAAAAAGGAGATGAGCTATCCCCGAACACCAGAAGGCTACAAAAAGGAAAGCCAATTGGTGAAGATTTGAGATACTCCAAACCCAGTTATAAAAGAATCATAGGAAATTCTTTTCTAACTATTGTCTTTCCATGATTGTAAACAACTGGAAACCTTCTTTAGTTTTTTGGAGGTTTCCCTATCCCAGCTTTTAGGTTGTTCCTTCCTCTTCTTTTTTATTTATTTATTTATTTTTTATAATTCATATAGATATTTTATAAAAAATTAGAAGTGAGTGGCTTGGCTATCCTACCTAGCGGAGCCAAAGCAGAAAAAAAAAAAATTAGCCAGAAATGAATATAAAAGAAAGGAAAAAGGAAGCCTTTCAAAACCTGATATGAATGGTGGGAATAATCTTGTCTGAATTAAGAGGTGTCATGAAAAGGATAGGTTCAAAATTACGACTGATTCAATTTACCTATTCCAAGATCCTTTGTTGTTTTAAGAAGCTGATAGAATAACTAAGTGGATGAATTTCATTTAGTAGCAAGAAAAGTGCAACATCTGGGAAATTTTATTAGATTCAGCTGCCATAAGAGTTGGTTCTTATCTTTCCTCTTGAAATTTTGAATAAAAACTCTCTCCATATTCAACTTCTGAATAATGAACCTGGTGACTAGTTCGTTCACCTAGTTCCTTGGCAATACCTAATGTGCAAATCTGAGCTCTTGGCCAAAAATAAGACATGGGTTACTAAGAATATACATTAACAGTCCATGTGTTTGGGATTTAGGAATGTTTAAACTATGAATTTAGTCCTTATGGATTGGATTTAATTTCATATTGGTTCCTAGTTTTACAAGTTTTAGTTTAGTCCAAATGGTTTGAGTTTCAATTTGGTCCCTAGGGTTTTAGAAGCTCCAATTTGTTCTATATAGTTTGGTTAAATCTCACAAATCATCCTTAAACCAATTTCCTTTCTTTTTTACTCGACCTTGAACTGTCACATATTTGTATGGTAACAGCAAGGAGATTTGTGAGTTATGACTAAACCATGGGAACTAAACTAAAACTTTTAAAGCCACAAGGACCAAATTGAAACTAAAACCTCAATCATGGGGACTAAATTGAAACTTTAAAAATCACAAAATCCCATTTGAAACTATATGCAAAACATAGGAGCAAATTCGTAATTTAACCATCCATTCATTCCCATAAGCAAGAATGTTAAGAATATATCAAACAACTAAAGAGTTATAATCTTTTTGATCAAGTCAAGTTTGGGTCGTGTTCCGTGTTCGGAGCTGCTCTAACTTTTGGTATTGAATCTTCCAGAGTGGCTCACGAGGCAGGTGCTGCTACTGGAATTGTAAATGTAGGTGTGACAAGAGCCGATGACTTTGTATCACTGAAAATCAATGCTCGCTTGGGTGAGGTACAGTTCCCTGTATGAAGCACTGTGAAAAATGAAATCTCTGAAAAATTAAGGTTTGTGTGTGCTTGTATTGCTAATAATTTTTTTCCATTTCCTATTGGCTGTTGCTACTACAGATCATGCCCAGAGTGCTTCAMATGGGGTCCCTTAGCATCCCTGCCCTCCAATGACAACACTTCCAAAAAAAAAAAACAGGTCTCTTCTGTTTCAATCAATAACTTTTAGTAGAGAATCTAATTTGCGACATTATGTTTGGGACATGGATTTCTTCATTGTTATATTAATAGCAAACCTGAGCTGATCTTCTTTGGTTCTTCTGACTTTCCATTTTGTTTTTGCCTTTTCTTCTCTCTGGTTTCTCTAGTTCAAGAATGTAGGGGAGAAAGGGGGAGTGGAGGGAGGAAAAATATTAAATCACACTCAAAAGCTTGGGGAGAATTAAATTGCTAGATTTTGAATACAAGACRTTTGATTAAGGACTGACCCAAACCGACTGAACTAACGTCTGTGGGCCGGTCTAACTATTGGTTCGATCGGTCTCAGTTATTTCATTGTCAAAACCGATGAGTTGGTTTGTTGGTCTGGTTGAGAAACAAAAATCCAACCAACCTACAAGTTATTCAAAGAAAAAAAAAACTACTGCAGAGGGTAGATTGCAATATTCATTGTAGTCTGCAAAATCGCTTTGAGAAAACCCGTGCTTCAACCGATCTCCTTTTCCACATCAATTCCAGCCATGTACTCTATATTTACTCGTACCATGTTTCTCAAAATATTTTAGAAACGAAAATAATTGATCTAGAACGGTTTGAATATACTATTAGGAACAATATAGAACACATTAGGATCCAAATAAAGAGTTTTATTAAATACAAAACCCCAAGTCATCAAGTATTAACATCCAAAAAAGAGTCATATTAGCAACAAAAAAGGAAAGAACAATATCGTAATACTGTTTTAACAAGTCCTAATGAAATCCTTAAAGGTAGTTTATTACTTTATTTTTCAAGGTTGATTGGATCTACAAGGATACTTGATGGTCTCTACTACTTCGACGAAGGTTCTTTTTAGTAATAAAAYAACTCAGGTCTCGGTAGAATTAGTTCTCTCTCAGTTAAAAGAACAAATTATGTTTTGGCTCTTAGGCTAGGACATCCCACTTTTTCTATCCCAAACAATTATTTTCAAATTTATTCAAAGGAATTGATGGTTCATCTTTCGATTGTGAGAGTTTCATTCTAGGCATCTATCTTAATTAATTAAGTAAACTACAACACAAGACAATTCAAGACATCTAGTATTCCCCTTCTTACATGTTGTACTAAAAATAACAATGTAACACAATTCACCCAATTCAACACAAGGAGCACTAGAAAGGCAACCTGGAATTTGTGAAAAATGTCGAATAATCCATAGGCGGAGACGAATTATGGTAATTTGTTCCAATCCGAGACATAAACAAAGAGAAGAATAATCTTTATAAAAAAAAAAAAAAGACCCCTAAGGCCACCTACAATATACACATAAATAAATAAATGATCGGTTTTGACATGACATGGATATATCCATATATCTCTAACTTAGATTTATGAGATATAAAAATATGCCTTGCTTTTTGTACTTATTTTTGCCTAGTTGCTACAACAATGCACAAACATTGAGAACACCATAAAAGCACAATTTCCCTAGTTTTGCAAGCCAACAATGTGCGTCTACAACTTTCAATTCTCTACTTTATTAAGCATGAATTTACTTGCACCACTTGTGCATTTCTACTAATTCTTAACCCCTTTCACTATTAAAAATCAGTTTGCAATCTACAAATCATGGTATTAAATATGTCGATTAAATGTGCGTCTACATGTCGACAGTTTCATGTATACATGGATCCGATATCGACACGAGGGGTAAATCAACATTTCTATAATATTACAAAAAAAATAAAGACAAAATATGAAAAATATCGATAAACTTTCACTAATATAAACATCACTATCAAATATTTTAAACTTATTTAGAAATGATGAAATAATTATTTGTTAATTTAAATAATTTTTAAGAATTTTTAATTTTATAGCTTTACCAGAAATATATGGTCATCAACATTTTATSGATATTTTAATTGACGTTGCAATTTAAAACCTTTCTACAAATAAGGAGAAATTGCAATTTACTTGATTTTCTGTTCGTTCTTGATAAGAAGATGCGCTAGAAAAAAAAATTAGAAAAAAAAAAGCTAATAATCAGGAACTATAGCTATTTATTCGTTTCTTGTTATTTTTTAATCGAAAAAAGAAATAGAATTATGCTTGGTGAATTTTTTATTTCTTGTTCTCTAAAATATTAAATTTAAAAAATAAAAACTTTAACTGAAAACTAATTTTAATATAGATACTAAATTTTTTTATGTTATATTATTCTTTTAATATTTATTATGCATTGATAAAATAATAATTTCTTTTATGTATTTGAAAGTCTTGAAACCACTCCTACTTTAACAAACCCTGTATAAATGAAGAAATTTATTTTAGGAATTGAAATTTCTCATTATTTTCTTCTGGGTAATTTTGAAATACTATTTATCTGCATTTATGTTATATTTGCAACTAACTCTAATTTATTTTCAATTTAAGAGTATTTTTAACGCGTAGCAAAAATATTTGACATATTTGCAAATATTGCAACATTTCTTTTGTTTTGGAAATATGACAAAATTTTTAAAATCAATTTTTTTTCGTTATTTCGAGTTTGCCTTTAATATTTTCAGAAATTGAAATATCTAATATGAATTATATTGTAATCTATTTGATATTAGGTATRATAGTTGTGTTTGGCGGGTTGTCGAGGCCCTTCAAAATAATTACTGATTTTACTAAATTTATAGGAAGACCAGGTCAAATCCCAAGAGAACCAATGAATTAATTTCTCAAAGTTAAAAAAATGGGAGGTTTGTATTTAAATTTTGAAATTAAAAAAANAAGGTGTGATTTTCATCCAATTGTAATCTTGATCATAGGTTTTATATAAAAAATCGATTTCTTGATTCAAGAAATTAGTCTACTTACTCGGAACAGCCGTGRTAAGTTTTAATTCTCTTAATTTAATTAATTTAGACCAAGCATCAAAATTAAATCTTATTAATTAATCAATTGGGCATGATAGCGTTCCATATTAATCAAAGAATAGCATTAAGGATGATGATAATGACTAAACCAAAATCAATTAATTTGAGATAGCTGCAAGTTAATTAATTTTGTCCCTTTGTTTCCTTAGAGTCTATTATGCTAGCTATGTAAACATGGAAAAACCATAAMTACACACATAAGCCAACCCCTTGCTACTTATTTCAATCATTCATGACAATTACGGATCACAAACTCATGGATAGAAGTAGAACAATTAATATGAATTAAGGCGTCAATTTAATTAATATAAGCTGTTCATAAATAATAAGAACAAGAAACAAAGAATACTTGAAAAAGAAGAAATCTCTATCTAACTTAAGCCTCCCAAGCTTACAATCGGACTTGAATCACCCTTGAGTTGGAAGAATTAAAGTCTAGCCACTCATGGTGGTGGGAGAGAACTTGAATTTTGGAGAACGAGAGCCTTTAGTTGGAACTTGGATGATGGATAGGCTTCTCTATGTATAAAGATTAACTTTATCATCTTTTAAAGAGAAATTATCTCGAGTTCCTAACTAATTGGGAAATATCATTTTTAAAAGAAAACAAATTAAATAAAAGAATTCCTAATCAATTGAGGATTATGTTTSCTACTGTGATTATATCTCTTTATTTACAAAATATCCTAAAAATTCATAATTCTCAAATTGAAGCTTCACRCCATAATAATTATGTCTGTATTTATCTGTTGAACTCTTCCCAATTTGGTGAAGTCTGCATTATCTTCTAAAATTGCGTTTTTAAATTATTATTCTTGAATATCTTCAATCTGCCACAAAATTATAAATTATAATTAAATTCCAATATTTAAAGATAATAGATTAATAAAATGTAAAATAAATATATAAAATATGGGTATCTTTTTCATCTTATCATTGGCCTTCGAATTTTAAGACACATCGACACTCCAAATTAATTACAAGAGAAAACACCCGGTGGAGACAAATGGTACTAGTTCGAACCAAAGCCGAACTAGGCGACCAGTCGAACGGTTTTGCCTACTAACCACGTAGCAGGCCAACTGTCCCCTCCACTAAGCGCGTGTCTCCCTACTTTTGTGGAATTGGAACCGTTTATTCAAATGAGGATCCTCACCACTCCAACGGTTACTTTTCTCATCCCCTATAAATACCAATTGAAATGAATGAGTTAAGGTACACAAAAACTGATTATCTTGAATTCTTATTATTTACCAAGCACAAAGACTGACAAGATCGTTGGAGTACTAACTTGTTTACTAACTTGTTTTTGCAGGTTCTTAATCCTAGAGTGTTCTCGAGAATCTATTGTGACTATCGGAAATTTTTYGGTAAGAATAAGTTGCATAAAAGATATATTGAATAAGTATATCACTGATGTAACTAATATACCTAATATCAAGTATATTAGTCACACTAAATATATGAATGATACATTTCATAAGTATATAATTGATGAATCTTCTTCGAGTTGAAGAATTTTGTTCAAGTAACACTGAAGACTTCTTATCGATATATCAAGTACATAAGGGATATACTTCATTTTAGGTATATCATCATCTATATACCTAAATGAAGTATATCTCCACATTGATAAATTGATAGATCTAAACTGAAGTATATCACTAATATATCTAATATTACGTATATCAATCACGTCAAATATATGAAATGATATATTTCATAGTAAGTATATCTAATAAATCTCCTTCAAATTGAAGATTTTTGTTTAAGTAACATTTCAGATAATTTCTTATTAATATATTAAGGATATAAGCGATATTTTTATTTTAGGTATATTATTATCGATATACCTAAATGAAATACTATATCTTCATCCCTTGTATACTTAATATTATGTATATTATTATATCCCTGATATAAATAATATATATAATAAGGTATATCAATGATATAATTCATATTAAGTATTATATTCTTGATAAATCTTCTCCAARTTGAAGATATTTTAAAGTATATTGTAGGTTTCATAACGACGTCGCTAAAAGTTTTCTTTAGCGATGCAGTCACATATTAGGGTCGCTGGTTTTCGCGAGCGGTCAAATATAGGAGTTGTCGAAACTTATACTAGTGACACTTTTTATAATACTAGTAAGAAACATGTGCAATGCACATGAAATTTCATGGTTTTATTTT